AGCTTTGGGGTTTCCCTGTGCATCTAAAAGTGATGTTTACACTAGACTGAGAGTATCAAGTGTGCAACAGCATCTCGTCTAGGATAATGTAGTCGACTTCGTGCAAGAAATACGCAGCTGCTGCTGACACCAGCGTGGGCCTTTTCCAGGCAGAGGGTCTTGTGGGCGTGAAGGTACCTGAGAAGGTGTATCTGTGCCTGCATGTGAGAATGAGGAAGGTGTAGCTGTCGTGTCCGCTTTTTCCCTAAATGAGGAGGGGGGGAGGGTCCCCTCTAAACAACGACCAGCGGTAACAGCAACATGCATGGTGTGAACACTGGCCATGGGCTCCGCTCAGCCGTGGGCCCTCCGTCTGGGCTCTGCTACCTGTGCCGTGTGCAAATGCCGCCCGCCTGGAGGCGGAGGCGAGGAGGACTCTGGGCGCTCCAGGCAGCTCCTCTCCCCACCACCTTGCCCAGGTGGGCTGTGGCCCTCTCCTCACCTCTCGCCTCACCAATGCCGGGCCAGGGCCTGGACGTGAACGTTACATCTGGCTGCCCTGGGCGGCAGGAGGGAGTGGTACCCGGATGGGCCTGCTTGCCTCTGAGTCTCCGTGGAAACAACACAAGAGGAGGGAGTCCTCAAAACCATGAAACTTCACGGAAGCAAGTCCGTGCCACACACACTCTGCCTGTGCCACTCCATCCCCGGCACTGGGGAACTGGGGCACGGACGGGGTGGCCAGGGGCCACGGGAGATCGCTTTCCTGCCATGCCTGAGCTTCCTTGTTTGTAAAGAAGGGAGAAGGCAAACGCCTTCCTCCTAGTGTTGGCGAGAAGGGTAGGAAGGTGAAGATAAGGGCTTGAAGCATGCTTTGTAAGGGCTAAATCATCGCCGTCCTCAGCTTCATCCTCACCATCACCACTGTCATCCCCAACATCATGCCCACCATCATCCCCAAATTCATCTTCACCTTCATCCCCACCATCATCCCCAACATCATCCCCACCTTCATCCTCACCTTCATCCCCACCATCATCCCCAACATCATCCCCACCTT